CTGTTTAAATTGCACTCTTGTTATTCTCTTACTACTTAATTGAAATTCTTTTTATATTTTGGAGATTAAAACTTTGTTAACAACTTACTACTAACTTTTTGAAGATATCTTTTTTTTTAGTTTTCTTGAAACTGGGAACTGACTTCTCTATATAAATAGAGCATATGAACTATATTTAGAACAAATTAAAGTACACGAAACAAGTTACCCTTTATCACTTGCTGTAGATGTTTTACAAGCCTATCATCCTGATTTATTCTGTATTATCTGTTACCCTGTTGTTAACTTACACCGTCCCTTCTGACGATTTTGGGAAACATATCGAGACAACTATTTTGCTATCACATATTCTCAAAAGACAAACGACACTTACCGTGTTCTAGTTACTGCCACTGATTATAACACTGCCAGAGCTGCTGCCAAAGATATTGTTTTTAGCTGCTGTCATAACAACGACCTTTTAGACCCCAAAGAAATTATTGCTAGTCTACTCCTTGAACACACCTCTTATACTCTTGCACCTACCTTACTTTTCGATTTTGAGGCTACACTACTTGACCTTCACATTGAGGACCTTCTTTCTTCTACTCCTTCTTATACTTGACCAAGAACTGAAAACCTTTTATTTGATTTTTAAAATCAACTAGAAAGAACTGACTTAAACTTTGATATCTCTCTGCCCAGATCTATATATACTTTGGGCCCTAAACAATTAGCTGACACTGGTGTTGGTTCTTCTACTAATACCTATATACTAATCCCCCAACAACTTGAGTTTCCTTCCTCACCTATCTCGGAAATTCCATATTATTATACTAGAGAACCTACTCCTCCTCCACAACAAAATCGTTTTCTTCGCTTATTACAACAAACATTTTCTCCTGCTACCCGCACAACTGCTCCTCCACTTCCTCCTGTAGCTGAATATTACCTACTGTTAATTTAGATATTACTGTTACTCCACACTATACACTTCTATTACTTAACACATCTCTTCTTAATACTCAAAATTTAATTGATCCTTTTGACTATTATATCAAAACCAAGATGCTACTATTGTTAAACCTGACTCTTCTCAATGATTTGAGAAAATAAATTTGCAATCTAATGTTGAAGAATTAAACCCTATCTTATCTCAACCAACTAGACGAAAAAAATCTAATAGGAGACGCTACTTTACAAGCAATAACTGATCTTGCTGCTGCTCTCGGGCAAGGTTCTGAGAAAACTCTTATAACTGTTACAGATTTTTATAGGAATAGAACTCAAGACCCGCTAACTGGTTAAAGGAATTTAGAAGAGCTGCTACTGCTAATAAATGTAGTGCCACACGAAAGCTTCAACTTGCTCCTGTGTACCTTAATGAAGTTGCATTAGACTAGTACCAGGCTTTAAATCCAAAACCTAATGCTTTCAATGATGATGGCAACC